CCCTTTCATTTCTGCTGCAAACCAGTCAGCTCCTTCTTGAGCTCCTCCCTTTTTTTTTTTTTTGGAGATAGAGTCTCGCTGTATCCCCCAGGCTGGAGTGCAGTGGCGGGATCTTGGCTCACTGCAACCCCTGCCTCCTGGGTTCAAGTGATTCTCTTGCCTCAGCCTCCAGAGTAGCTGGGACATGTGCCACCACGCCCGGCTAATTTTTGCATTTTTAGTAGAGTCAGGGTTTCACCATGTTGGCCAGGCTGGTCTCGAACTCCTGACCTCAGGTGATCTGCCCGCTTCGGCTTCCCAAAGTGCTGGGATTACAGGCATGAGCCACCGTGTCTGGCCAAACTCCTCCCTCTTTTTTAGAGGCAGCCAAGAGTGACCAATCACAGCACCCATCCTCTATGTTGTTTCCAACCTCTTTCCCTAGAACTGCAAGATAATCTTGCCGGTCAGCCACCTCCAGAGGGACTGCACTCTTACAAAACATTTTGCCACCTCCTAACACAGGGTGCCACCTCTCTGGCATCTGCCACGCTTCCCTGTCTCCTGCTGCCCGCTGCTGAGCCCACACGGCCTGTTTCCTGTTTCTGTTATAGCAACCATTTTGACACCAGTCTCTCAAATAGTCTGGATAGACTAGATTGTGTGTACTTTGGGAACAAATTAAAACCTGAGCCTCTGAGGCTTTACACAACAAAGGTTTATTTCTCACATTACATGTTCAGGGTGCTCTGCTCCAGGTGGTCATTCAGGAACGCAAGCTCTCGGTGGTGTTGCCATCTTGCAGCTGCACCATCTGGAAACCGTGGCTGCCCAGGAAATCACAAGCTGGGGAAGAGTCCGAGGGACCCACTACCCAAGGGTTGTCCACTGCCTCCACCTGGGAGCAGCATGCATTCCTGAGCTCATAGCTCGTTGGCCAGAACTAGTCCCATGAGCCTTCCTAGCAAGGGGCTGGGCTATGCACCGATCGCATGGCTGGAGGGTATCGGTGTCTTTGCCACACTGGGCTCAGATTTAGAAACGGATGCATTTAATGTGGCTTTCCTGTTCTAGGAGGTTTCGGGGAGCAAAGTTTCTACACGACATAGGGCATCTATGTATTAGAGGTAGTTAGATGTGAGGTAGTTAGATGTAAGGAATTTGCTGTTCCTGGAGTCAGCCCGAAAAGTCTAGAATCTGGATTCTGGAAGACTGTACTAGACTAGCCAAGTGTCAGAACACACGCCTCACCAAGAGCTGCCTCTGAAGGAGTCCTAGGGCCTGTGACTTTGTCCCAAGTCAAAGGCATCCGCTCCAGCCAGAGCTCATTGGAAAAGAGCTGGCCGCTTGGTTCAAAGCCACCAGCCAGGCCATCAGCTGGCCTGCAAGTTGTCCTAGTCAGAAGGCTCTGCCCACAGGGGTGGTGCTGACTCAGCGCCAGCCAGATCCTTTCTCCGGAGGTGCAGAGTCTGAGACAGAGCGAGAAGGAAAGGTTGGTGGCAGAGGCAGGAGCCCCAGGTCGCATTGGGAGACACAGAGGCAGGGCAGATGCCTCAGGCCATGGCAGAGCAGTCGAGGGGCCGGCGACTTTGGCTGGTGGAGTGGGGACTGGCACCCACGGGGGGTTCCTGAGTGGCTCTCCAGCCCCTGCCTCCCTGAAGCCAGTGGAGGTTCCTGAGTTGGGTGCTATAGGGGCCACCATCTAGCATCACTCAGGACCTCCTGATGCTGGGGTGTCAGCCACGTGATGCTCTGTAGCCATGGCCCCCAGATGAAGGCACTGCCTCGTGCTGAGTCACAGCCCCCAGGACCCACCAGGATCCAGGAACTGGGCACAAGGGCCCACTCGCTTTGTCCCTCAGCAGACAGCCTGGAGGGCCGTCCCAGGCCCAGAGCTCCCGCAGGGTTGGCTGAGGCTGGTTGTGACCACATTCCAGCCAGCTCCTCCCTCTGCCTGGCCCTGCGTCCCCCACACCCAGTGGTGCTCACCCCTATGTACCCTTCACACATGAACATCCCAGAGGGGACACACCTGGCTTTGCTGCCCCCTCCCTGTGTCCTCCTGAGCCCTGTGCTTCCTGTGTCAGACCTCGACTTCTTGAGGGAACCCAGGAAGGCCCTGATGTTAACAGACACAAGAGCTGAGCTCCCACTAAGGGAAGAAGGGGACTTCCCCTCTGAGATGGCAGCAGAGCCAGTAGGGGCTTGTTAATTCCTCAACTCAACGTCGCCATGCTTCTGTAGCTCGGTCTGGAGCCACCGTAGCTGCGCTCTTGGCCACAGCCTTCTGTGATGCTCTCATCCACAGCCAAGGACATGATCAGAAGACCCTGCCCAAGATCCCCGGGCCCAGCACCCTGGCTCGCGAGGGCACGTGCCATATAATCCCTGCCCATCCCTCTCACCATTCATCCGCATGCTCACGACCTCCCCTCCAATGGCTCCCCACCTCCGCACATGCTGTTCCCCCCGCTGAAACGCCCTTCACCACGCAGGGGACTCCAACTCCTCTTCCGCTCTTACAGGGCCAACTCAAGATCCACCCTCCTGCGGCTCCACCTGCAGCCCTGGCTACTCCTGTGCCCTCAGCTCTCATTGCTGTCCTGCCATGGAGCCAGGTGTCCCTCATCTCATTGTTTGAAAACGCTGATTGTTCATGCAGCTTCTCACCACATTCCCAGGACCTGGCAGCATCCCCTAAGAGAGGACCTTACCACAGGCCTGGCAGGGAGCATCCACCCAACAAAGATTTGTTGAACAAATGGGTGGAGAAACAAATGATTCAAGGAATGGATGTCCAATTAAATGCGTGATTAAAGGGATGGTGCTTGAGAGAAAGAGGGAGGGAAAGGGAAGGGAGGATGGAAGGAAGCAAGGAAGGAAAGGAAGAAGGGAGGAAGGCAGGAGTGGGGGAGGGAGACAGAGAGGAAAGGAGGGGCAGAGGGAGAAAGGAGGAAGGGAAAGAAGGAGGGAGAAGAGAGGGCAGGCAGGCTGCTCCTCCATCTTTCTAAATAGGTTATGGTGGTAACCCAGGAGCTATTTTCATAATTCCACAAAACCTAATAGAAATTGTACACAAACCCAAATCAGACTGGCTTAAAGGTCAAGTCTCTCTGCTTTTGGCAATGGCTCTGCTGGTTATCTCATGCTCTGATTGGCTGCCACAAGTGTGTGGTGTGATGAGTAAAGAATGAGGAAGTTGTTATCATTTGGTAGCCAAAAAAAAAAAAAAAGTTTCAAAACTTAAGATCCAAGGGGGTGTCGTCACAAGGGGGTCAATGTTGAGAGCTTCTGATCCAGGAAATTGCCACGGATATAAAAGCAGACTGATCTGTTATTCATAGCTTTTTAAACCAAGGGTAGCAATTTTTTAAGTGACCCAAATAAAATAGTATAGAATTAACTTGCTTGTTTCTGTGCTAGTAGTTTGTGTTATTTAGGATTGGCTTTAGAGTGAGATGGGTAAGACCCAGTTGCAGGCCATAGGGTCACTGTCTCTGTGGACCCAGCAGGGAGCGTGGGAAAGGCTGGGCCTGCAGAGCTGGGTGCATAGCTGGACTCAGCCCTCCAAGGAGCTATAATTGCTCAACGGTGCCTGAGCATGTGAGAGACCATTGAGGGATGGGACCTTGAGGTCATCCAGCTAACTCTCTCCTCTCTGCATTAATCTTCTCCACAGCACCCCCAAAGGTGCTTGAATGCTTCCCCTGATGGGGAACTCACTACATGCGTGGGCGGCTATTGCACTGTCCTGACTGCTAGAATCAGGGGAGGTCTTACGTTTGCTGAGAGCACATCTCTATGTCCACTGTTTTATGGACCTTGTCTCATTCCATCTTCCCAGCGGTCTTGTAGGTCTGTCTTGCTGCCAAGTTACTTTAAAAAAACTTTTCAGTTCAGGGGTACATGTGCAGGTTTGTAATATAGGTAAACGTGTGTCATGGGGGTTTGTTGAATAGATTATTTCATTGCCCAGGTACTAAGCCTATTATGCAGTAGGTTATTTTTCCTGATCCTCTCCCTCCTCCCACCCTCCACCCTCTGACAGGCCCCAGTGTGTGCTGTTCCCCCTGTGTGTCCATGTGTTCTCATCATGTGTTCTTGTCACTTGTCAGTGAGAACTTATGGTATTTGCTTTTCTGTTCCTGTTTTATAGATGGGGAGACCGAGGCCCACTGAAGTCACATGACTGCCTTTGCCGAGGGAGCCAAGTCCAAGCCGGGATGGATGCTGCTGCAGAGAACCAGTCCTGGTCCTCCCCTGCCCCGGCGGCTCCCTGCGCTGCAGTCTGCTCCAACCCATCCCTGGCCTGGGTCCCCAGGATGCAGCTCATGCGCTTCCCATGAGAGGAGCCCACAGAGCCCGGGGCCTGGGCTTCCTCCCTGTGATTTCCTGGCTGTGTCTGCACCCTCAGTAGCCTGGCATCCTTTATGCAGGGAGGAGGGGAGGGCAGCCCCTGTACGCTCGCTCCGGGGCCTCTTTGGTCTGGCCTCTTTATCAGGCTAAACATCAGCTATGAGCAAGTGGTTCTCTGCTTGAATGAGGCCTAAGATGTCCCATTAGAGCCACTTTCATCAAAAGTGAACTTGAGTTTTGTTTCTTTTGTTTTGTTTGAGTGCACTGGGGGTAAAGGGGTCCGTGCGTGGGTGCCTGGCGGGGTAAACATGACTTTACTTAATTCCCTGTGAAAATGCTCTGTTCCCTAATGATGCAGATCATGGATTATTTTGTACACCTGCAGGTGTGTAAAAAAAAAAAAATTCCAGTCCATTGCTGCCTTCTAACCCCTCAACACTCAATGTGTGGGTGGGTTCCAGGACCCCCTTGCACATAAAAATCTACAGATGCTGAGACCCTGATATCAAATGGTGCAATATTCACATATAACTGGGCACTTCCATGTACTTTAAATCTCCAGATGGCTTATAATACCTAATACAATGTAAATGCTACATACAGAGTTGTTACACTCTATTGTTATTTATTTGTATTATTTTTATTATTTCATTATTATCTTTTGTTGCTTTTTCAAAATATTTTAGATCCGCAGTAGGTTGAATCAACAGATGTGGAACCCACAGATGCACAGGGTTGACTGTACAGCTGAGAAAAAACAACAAGTTCCAGGCCAGGGGCACGATCCTATTAACAACAACTATATACACAGGTACAAATACAGCCTCACTCTCGCACTTGTGCATCTGTGCACAGGAAAGATATGGAAATAGTTTTTACCAAAATGCCAGTGATGGTTGCGACAATCCTGTGAGATCATGGGCCCTTTTGGTTTTCGTCTTTCATCTTTGTATACCCTTACTCACATTCAGTGAAAAAAAAAATAGGGTAGAAGTGAATAATAAATTTCCTAATTGCTGAATCCAGCCACAGTGCAGGGAAACCAGAGAAAAGGGAAACCTGTTAAACTTACACAAATTGATTAAAAACAGCCACATCGATTTTAAAAAGATAAGGCCTCTTCCTACGTCACAGCTCCAGAACTGGGAGTTCAGGGAATGACCATGTTTCATGAAGAGCGGTAGAGAGTCACTTGTAGGGAGGGCTGAAGGCCCTGCAACGTCACCTGCAGCCTGGAGGCAGGAATGGGTGCATCAGCCTCTCGTCCCCACAAAGAACAGAGGAGGTGCCCAGTGAGTGTCTAATAATTGAAGGTAAGTGATGCATCTTAAACCAACACAGTCTTCAACACCGCACAGCTCACAGACAGACGCATCACATCCAGAGGAGGGTGGCAGTGCCAACCCAGTGAGCCCATGGCCAGCAAGGTATGAGATGCCAACGTGGCCCCGGGCCCTGGCTGGGGGCTTGGATTAGGGGGATCTCAGGGAGCAGGGCTGTGCCTCTTAGAAGTCACGCACAGCTAGGTCTCAACCCCACCTGACCACTTACTTCCACCAGGTGTCTGACCTTGATCTTGAACAGGACTGGCCAGCATCTGAGACCTCGACCCAGCAAACAGCTTGAGAAAACATCAGAGGTGTTACTTCAGTGAGCAGCACTACTCTCAGCCCTAAACAGGAAAACAAGGAAGAAACATGCTTGGGGCGCCTCCTGGGATGTCACAGCACCCAGAGACGGAGGTTCTGGCTTCATCTTCACACAACTAGAGCCCCTTGTTTCGGCTCCATTTTATAAACAAGGAAACCGAAGCTTAGAAGGTGAAATTACTTTTCCAAGTTAGAATAATCAGACAGGTTTCCTGAGGCCTCTGGGCACCCATAATAAGAATTTATTGATCAAAATTGAATGAATGAATGAATGCATTAATGATAAAGCCCAAAACAAACCAAGAAAAGGTAACAACTAGAAGAAAAAGACATAATGTGAAAAGTTAATTGATTATAATCTATGGTACTATACATTAGGTTGTATAACTTTTACTTCACAAAAACTTACTTTTGATTCCTAACAAATAAAAAATGCTAACACATATGGTAATAATATTCTATAATAACATTTTACTTGTTATTAATAAAAATATTAACATATTTTCATTAAATATTAACACAGACACACAGAAATCACTTCCTGGCTTAACACACACTTGGCTGAATTCCTTGGTCCACGTATCGCTCTGAATCTGAAACATCCTTTCTGCACCAGCCATTGACCCAGGAATTAAAACAGAGCATTGAACCTCACTAACAAGTGTGTGTTTACAGTTTCTTCACCCAAAAAGTATTTCCACTTATCAAGAGATGGCATTTCCTCCAGGGACGTAAGCATCCTGTGTGAGGCGAGAGTGACTCAGAGGGAGGGCCCGGGGAACAGCTCCCAGCAGCACATGTGTAGTGACTGTGTGAGTAGCCTGTGGCCGCCACAACAGTGACCACAAACTGGGCAGCAAAAGAGGAGAGAAATGTATTCCCCCCAGTTCTGGGGGCCAGAAGTCTGAAGTCAAGGCCTCCACAGAGCCCTGCGCCCTCTGAAGCCTCCAGCGGGGATCCTTCCTGCCTCTTCCAGCTCCTGGTGGCCCCAGGCGTTCCTTGGCTTGTGGCTGCATCACTCTCATCTCTGCCTCCGTTTTCACATGGCCTCTCCTCTATGTGTGTCTGTATCTTCTCTTCTGCCTCTTATAAGGACACCTGTCATTGGCTTTACAACCCACCCTAAGTTCAAGATGATCTCATCTCAAGATCCTCATCTTAATTTTGTCTGTGAAGACTCTAGTTCCAAATAAGTTCATATTCATGCAGTCTGGAAGATTAGAATGTGGACCCATCTTTTTCAGGGACATAATTCACCCCACTGCAGTGACCGCAGCGGTCAGACTCGTTCACCCACTGCAGTGACCACAGCTGGATCAGACTTGTTCCCTGTGAAGGGGATTTCTCATGAGACGGAGTCACACGAGGGCAGAGACTTGGTTATCCTCGCCCTGGTAGCTTCAGCATCTGTGCTGCATGTGGTAGAGGCTTGATTGCTCTGAACAAGCACACCGATGAGTAAATGAACGAGCGGCCTCACGGAGCAGCGATGGTGACTTTCTGATGAAGACCAGGTTTTCAGATGGCCGGAGGCCTTGGCTTTGAGGTGTCGGTGGGTGCCATGGTTTATATGGCACTGGTTTTAGCCAAGTGCCCACTGGGCCATGCCATATCATTTAAAGGGTGCTATAGAATCCCAGAGTTATTGAGTAGGAAGGAAGCATGGACACTCCTCAGTCCAACTTCCTCACCTGGAAGGTGAGAAAACTGAAGCCAGAGAGGAGGAAGGATTCACCCAGGTCCCCCAGAGTCAGCAGCTAAAGAGAGTAGAGAATCCAGGCTTCTGACTCCCCAGCCAGTGCTCCATTGAGACCCAGCACCCTTCATCATCGTCTGCATCGTCCTAATCTCAGCCACGACTCCCATGGACTTGGACTCTTCCTGTTTGACTCTGTGTTCAGCATCTCACATACATCAATTCATTTAATCCTCTCAACAACCCAGTGCTGTACATAGAATCTTTATCCCCATTCTACAAGTGGCACAACTGAGGCCCTCAGATAATTTCCCAAAGGTCTGACAGCTAGAAAATCATGTAATCTGATGCCTAAGCCAGTGCTCCAAGCCAGAGGTAGGCAAAACCATAGCTTGCAGGACAAATCTGGCCCATCACCTGTGACCATAGCCAGAGTCTGCCACAAAAACAGGAGAATTCTCTGAGAACACATCCAGTTTAATTAGAGTACAGTCACACCCTTTATTCAAAGCGTCATCTCCGGCTTCTTTCCTGCTGCAGTGGCAAAGCTGAGTAATTGGGAGAGACGGTAGGACCTGAACAGCCTAAAATACTTGTCATCTGGTCCTTCATGTAAACGTCTCCTGAACTCTGCTCTATGCTGCTGATACTGTATCATCTGTTCTAGTCACTGTATATAGTACCATTTATATCAACCATTTAAGGGCTTTGTATCTATAATTCGAGAAATTTTTACATTTGAGTCTCAAATGAAACCCACCAACAATTAATTTACAAGGAAGCAGGTACTTCTTGAACATGACGGCCTTCCCCACTGTGTTTCTATTTTCACAGGGATGTTTTCAGACTGGATGATCCCGAAAGTGACCCCATTAGAAGAAGAAGGAAAAAAAAAAAAAAAAAAAGAAAGAAACAACCCTCGCCCCTGCAACCTCCTAAACGGCCCACAGCATCGGAATCGGAAGGTCCGTTCATGCTGATTTTCTACGTGTCGGGAATTTCATGCCAAAAAGCGACTCTTCTACATTAATAACGCATCTCCCCATCCATGACAGGAAATAACATTACAAAAGCCGGAAAGGACATCAAACACGCTGGCTTGGCAGCCACATGTATATGTGAAATTACTGTCAGAGTTCAAAGGCAGGGCTGAGACGTGGAGGGTGCCGTGCGGCGGCGTTACCCCATGATGCTTTGGCCTCGTGGGAATAAGCACAGTGGCAGGTTACTGTGACCTGGCCGTTGGCTTCCTGATGCCCACATTGATTCTGGCACGTGGGACTGCAGGGCTGGGATTGGAGCTCCCCACACATCCTACCCCAGCTCAAGAGGCTCACACGTAAAGCAACCTTTCCAGGTTTGGGCAGCCTGGACCAGTGCCTGCACCCAGGGCTGGCCCACGCTGCAGAGCTGACTCTCACGGAGCACTGCACTAAGCATTAAAGCTTTGCCTCCAGACTCTTACGCAGCCTTGAGAAGTAGGAGCTGTCACGCCCCCTAATTTATGGATGGGGAATTGAAGATGAATTGAGGTTACTTGATGTACCCATTGCATGGAGTAAGTGGAGGAACCAAGGTTCAAGCCCAAAGATTCCATCACTCACAACCCCCAGGCTTCACTGCTTCAATGTGGAAGCTTCTTTGGGAGATGCAGCCAGCTACGCTCAGGCAAGGTTGGACCTGAAGGTGTGAAGAGCTCACCTTTCTGGATAAGGCAAGTCACTGACCCCCTTTTGGAGATGGAGTTTGCATCAACCTTCATGGCAAGAGGGATCATGACATGAATGAGAGGGCAGCAATTTGACCAAAGGCTCTTCTAGCTAGACAGGTAACTTGGCTCATCATCCTGACTCATTAAACTGCCTGGTGAGCTCCTATGCATTCTTCAAAACCCAGTTTAAACATTCCTTTCACCATGAAGATTTCCTTGCCCCATAAAAAGTCAATCAACGCTGTCTTTGTGCCCCTGCAGTGTATGTGTTGTGAATGCTTCTGTCTTGACACAGACTGCTTTGCCTTGAATGTATGTGGCTCGCTCTCTGTCTAGTACCTTCATGAAAGACAGGAATTGTGCTCAGTGTGCCTGTGGACACCAGCTTGGATTAACAGGAGCAATGCTAGTAACACCCAGCACTAGTTAATCACGTACTGTGTGCTGGGCACTCCTCTAACGGGGTCGTGTGCACTCATCCTTAAAACACCGTAGGACGCTGGTGTGATTATTATTTCCAATGGCCAAGTGTGTAGGCTCTGAAGCCAGGCCACCTGGGTTTGAATCCTGGCTCGGCCTGTGACCTTGAGTGAGTTACTCAGCCTCTCCGTGTCTCGGGATTCTCAGTGACATGGGGATAATCACAGCAGTCACCCAGTGAGGGCTGGAGCCAACTCCAGCAAGAGCGAACTATTAAAGCTTAAAGGATTTTGCCATCATTAAACATGACGTTGTGCACACTTAGAGTGGAATAAGCTCTATTAAAAACAAACGTAATAAACACTCAAAAGTCATCACTTCCTAATGATTTCCCCACATTTTACTTTCCTCTCTGCCCTTAAGGATACTCATGTTTATTGACTCACTTTGGTGGAAACACTCAATAATGATGAGCTTGCACACTGCTTCCCAACTGTATGTTCAGTGGCCTCACACCGGTTGAAATCAGACAGAAAGAGGGGATTTACACCATGGAGACTGGCAAGTGCTACAACCCATGGTTTCTTTAACCTTGGAAAGCCGCTTGGTAAGCATTCCCCAGCACACCAGTGTAACTACCTCATAGCAAGCACACAGTAAGCTGTCAATATGCATTAGCTACTATTGCTGTTACTACAGAGAAGACAGAGGTTAAATCACTAGCCCAGGTTATGAAAGACCCAGGTATGACCCCAGACATAGCAGCTCCCAATCTGGTCCCTTAACCAGCTCGAACTCAAGGCAGACCACAGAGTAGTGGCCAAGAAATGTATTCGGTTGAATAAACAAACATTAAATTAGTAGATCTCGAATCTGCTGGCCACAGAAGTGCCTGGGGAGCTTTGTTTGGACGCAGATTCCCACAGCATCCCTTGTGATAGGCTCCAGAGTATGCCTTATAGTGAGTGCGTCAGGTTCTGATCCTGTCCCTCCCCGTACCCCAGCCCCATCCCCGTCCTGCTCGTCGCCTGCTCGTGCCCCATCTTCCATATCTGCCTTCCTGCATCCCCACAGGGGTGAGTGGGGAACTGTGAGGTGGGGAATCACATAGGTCAGGGCCCCCTCTGTGCACAGGCCTTAACCAAGAGAGGGCTTGAAGACTGGACACTGTTGCAGGCAAATCAGAAGAACTGCCTCCTCCAGCAGACAGTGACCGTGGGGCACAGGGAGCCAAGAGAGGCCACAGCTTACCTGGGCTCAGAGGCCTGCATGTATCTGTGTCCATGGTAACAGAAAACAGGCTGTGATCGTACACTGCACTTGCAAATTCACAAAATGCTGCCACATTCCTTCTCCTTTCATCTTACGATAACCCCATGAGATCAGCAATGGATGCATAAAAATAATCCCCCGTTTACAGATGAGGAAACATGTGACTCATACAGCTCAGAGCTGCTCATGCCTGGAGCCTCAGGCTTCAAAGCAGTGTTTTTCCTTCAAAAGTGGGTGTGAGGGAGAGAAGTGGAGAAGATGGGGGCCGGAGTCCCAGAAAGTCAACGTTTATGCATTATGTTGGCTCTGCCACTCACTAGCTGTGTGACCCTGGAAAACCTTCCTACTCTCTCTGTGCCTTAGGTTTGCACCTTTGAAAACCCTAAGAAAATGATTGGCAGTCTCCTCTTATGGTTGTGGTGAATTCATAGATGTAAAAACGCCTTTTAGAATGTTGCACTGAGTGGGGTTCAATAATGGAATAAACAGGAACCACAGCAACAGCTGTAATGATATTGTTGCCTTTATGTATCTTGTGGCATTTCTGGGTTATTTTCTTTTAAAGGCAGGCTATTGATCTATCTGGAGTAAGTGAAGGATACGAAGATAGGAAGCCAAGGAGCTCTGGACTGGAAGTTGGGGACCATGGATTGAAGACCTCATCCAGTCAACATTTATTTCCTGGACACATACGATGTGTCCGGTCCTCTGAAGGTCCCCTCTGACTCCGTGGCTGCATGGAGCAATAGCTCTATGGGTCTACATCTGCAACTGATGGGCTCACGGCCTTGCTCTAGTCCCTTATCTCTCTGTATCTGTCATCCCATCTGTAAAATAGAATGAGTCAGAAAATAAACCCCATAAAGTATTTGTGAGCCTGGAGTTTTTAAATAAGATTTTGTCTATAAGGTGTTTTAGTCTGGGGCAGCAGCTTTCAACCCTGGCTATACATTAGAATGACCTGGGATGCTTTTTTAAAAGTGCCACTGCATAGGTCTCACCTCAGAGCAACTGAATTAGAATTGGAATTTCTGGAGGACAGAAGAAAGACATTGGTTATTTTTTAAAGCTCCTTGGGTGATTGATTCTAATGTGTAGCCAAGGGCAAGAGCCTGGGCACTAGGGCCTGCTGCAAAGGGTTCCATAAACCCATCCATTCATTCATTTTCTCATGAGACAACCTTTCTGGTACAGTATGTCAGGCACTGCTTTAGTTATTAAACAAAACAAAGCCCCTACCTTTGGGGGGTTGCACTTGGTGGGGAGGCAGTCAATAAATACACAAATGGATGTGGGATATAATGTGAGCTAGGAACACAAGCAATGAAGAAGTGAAAAGGAGGATGGGGGCTGCTGAGGGAAAGGGGGGCTGCCAATTGTATGGAGTGGCCAATTACTACATCATCATCACCATCATCACCATTACCATCATCCCTATCATCATCATCCACATGGTCATCTCCATCATCATCATTATAATAGACCTGAAGGAAGCAAGTAAAGGAGCCAGGAGGGGATATAGGGAAAGAGCATCCCAGGAAGGAGGAAGAAAAGGGCCAAATGGTGGTTGTTATGTCATTATTGTTTTTGTCATCATCATCATTATCATCACCATAATCCCCATCACCATCCCCATCACCATCATCATCATCATCATTATCACCATCATCCCCATCACCATCATCCCCATCACCATCATCACCATCACCATCACCATTATCATCACCATCACCATCATCACCATCATCACCATTATCACCACTATCACTATCATTAGCACCATCCCATTATCATGACCATCATCATCATCATCACTGCCATCACCATCATCATTACCATCACCATCATCACCATCACATTCATTAGCACCATCCCATTATCATGACCATCACCATCATCATCATGGCCATTGCCATCATCACCATCATCATCATTACCATCATTATCACCATCATCACCATCATCATCATCACCATCATCCCTATTATCATCATCATCCCCAAGATCATCACCACTACCATCATCATCACTATCATCACTATCACCATCATCATCATTACCATCATCACCATCATCACCATCATCCCTGTTATCATCATCATCCCCATGATCATCACCACTACCGTCATCATCACTATCATCACCATCACCATCACCATTACCATCATCATCACCATCATCATCACCATTGCTGTCATTATCACCATCATCACCACCATCATCATCACCATCATCACCATCACCATTACCATCATCACCATCATCACCATCACCATCACCACTACCATCATCATCACCATCATCCCCATCATCATCATTACCATGATCACCACCATCACCATCACCATTACCATAATCCCTACCATCATCATCCCCATGATCATCACCATCACCATCATTATCATTGTTGCCTTTTTTGTCATCATCATCCTCGTCCATCCTTTACGTGACCTCCTTAATCTCTGGCAACCCAGTTCCTAATCTGTGAAAACCTTTCAATAAAGTATACTTTATGCTAGAGTTGCTGAATCATCAGAGACCTGAGGCATTGACTCACAGGGCAAGAACAAACTCAAAATATCTTTGAAATCTTTTTTTCACTCTTAAGAAACATGAACATATGTACCATATTTTATAATACCTTCATGTTTGTGTTCATGTTTGTTTACTTTCCATTGAGTCGAACTGACATTTTCAGGAAGAGAGCATGGCATTAGAAGCCATGTTATGAAGACTGTGGATTCTGGAGTTGAATGGTATTGGTTTTGAGCCCTGGCTTTGCCGTTCACTAGTTGAGTGATCCTGATAAATACTTAAAACTTCTTGAACCTCAGTTTTCTCACCACTAAAAGAGGGTGATCATTACAGCCATGTTAGAGAATATCTGTGGGGATTAAATGAGATAATGCATTTAAAACACTATAAATAATGTACAGTACTTGGCCAGGCGCGGTGGCTCACGCCTGTAATCCCAGCACTTTGGGAGACCGAGGCAGGTGGATCACAAGGTTAGGAGATCGAGATCATCCTGGCTAACACGGTGAAAACCCATATCTACTAAAAATACAAAAAAGTAGCTGGGTGTGGTGATGGGCACCTGTAGTCCCAGCTACTCAAGGCAGGAGAATGGCGTGAACCCGGGAGGCGAAGCTTGCAGTGAGCTGGGAACATACTACCACACTCCAGCCTGGGCAACAGAGCAAGACTCTGTCTCAAAAATAATAATAATAAACAAAATGAAATAAATGAAAGATAAAAATAAAAATAGTGTCCAGTACTCAAGATATGCTCAGAAAACATTAACTCTTGTGACTTGTATCAATGTTTTCTTTTTTATTTATGTAGGCTTTACTAGTCTAATATGTATCTCATATATATCTCATATTTTATATATATATATATATATATATATATATATATATATATATATATATATATATCAGCAAATTATTTTCATGAAAGCCGTTGACAGTTTCCAGGGAATTCTGACATATAAGAATAAAAACCCATTCTCAGCAATGGGGCAGACTTGGCTTTCTGTCTTCTTTTAGCCATTGTCCTTCCTGAGACAAGGAATTCTAACACAAGTGGTTTATTTGGGAGGAGATGCCAGGAAACATCTGTAAGGGAGCAGGGAGATGAGACAGGGAAGACGGCCAACAAAGAGATCCGTACCAAGGCATTTACCATTTTGGGCAACTGGAGCTCAACCCTGCTGGGGACTTCTATGAAAGCATGGAAAGGATGCCTCAGCGTTGTTTTATCTGAAGCAAGGGAGCTGAGATATTTATGCTCCCAGGGACTTAAATCCCCGGCATGATGGTCTGCCAAGCATGTGGGGCAGAGCAGGCTCCAGCCACCAGAGAAAACTTCCAGCTGGGAGATCTGGGTGCTGAGAGTGGTGAGGGCTGGGGAACAAGAGCTGCCCCACAGGGTCTGTTTCCATATATAAACCTCAATTTCCCTCTCTGTAAAATGGGAATATTTAGAGCATCTAACTCATGATATTTGGGGTGATAAAAAACAGATTATGATTATAAAGCACAATAAATGCTAGCTGTCATAGCTACCACTGTGTTTATCCCTTGGACTTCTTGTAACCTCTGCCGTGGAACTGGATGTCCTAAAGGTCAAAGAGTCTATGTTGAGGTCAGATATGGTATAACGAAGAGCAATGTCTTCTCAGTCAAGCAGGGCTGGGTTCAAGTGTCAGCTCTACCTCCAACTGGGGAACCTGAACCAGTGAGTCAAGCTCTCCTAACATCAGTTTCCCTTTTGTAAAATAAAGTTGATAGAACCACTTCTTAGCATTATTGGGAGAGCTGAAAGAGATGCTGCATCAAATAATCTTGAACAGTGTCTCTTCAAGCTTGGAGAGATGATAAAAATTAATGTTTTCCTAAATTCTCCTTCCTTGGTTAACCACTCGGCTATGAAGATTTTATTGGCTGGGATGAAGGAGGAGGACTAAGAAAAGAAGAGTCAGAGAGAGGAGAACAGGAGGAAGATAAAATGTAGACACACACTCACATGCACACACACAAAGACACACACACACTCACACAGGCAAAGGCCAACTGAAGGGACGCCGTCAGCGTATAAACAAAAGGTGGGGGGTAGCCCCGATCCTCTCCTCTGACAGC